GGATTCTAGGTTTTTAAATATGTCTGCAAGATAAAACAATGTCCCATGTATGGGGGAAATAGTCTGTAGTTCTAGTGTGTATGATTTGCTTCAGTCTTCAAGATCTATATTTAGAGTTTTAAGCTGAGAGTATATATAATATCGCTGTAGGAGTTAAAGTTCCTAAAATGCTTCTCTAATCATGGTGACAACTAAGTTAATTGTCACAAGTTGTCCTTAAAGTGGAAATCAGGGCCAGCTTCCTACAGAGTAAAAATTACCTCTTTCCAATTAAACTCCACAGTGACCATCTGCACCAAACACTGAACCAGTGTCTTGAGTGGCGTGTGCACAAAAAGGGGGGGGGGGAAAGAAGTGCTGCATGAATGATGCAGGGAAGCAGGTTTTTCTCCCAGTATTTTGGGAAACAGCAGGAAGAAACAGGAGAGAATCATGCGAGAGTGAATTTGTAATGGCCCAAGCCTTTCAAACACCGGTGACTTTGGTAGCACAAGTTACAGTCAAGGCAACTAGATAATAAAATACCTTTAGTGGTGGGAAAAAATATCTAGATGGGTAAGGTATGGTATGTGTTCTTTTTTTTTCCATAAACTCAGGATAAGTTTCAAAAGACAAATTGAGATTCCTTTCTTTCAAAAACACAATGTCACAATGTAGGAGGCTGCTTTTTTTGTCTCTGTTTCTTGTTGTTTGGTTTATCCAAGGCTATCGGGTAGCTTCCAGAGAACTCGACACCTTAAAATCTGCCCTTGCGTTACAAACTGTTAGCATTGCAGGCTTAAAAACAATCCTTACAAGATACTGAAATGTCACGGCAGAAACTAAATGCGGCAGCGCAGTCCGGTGGCTTTTGTCATTTGCCCCGTGCATGCATATATGCCCTTAAGCATGCGCATGCATATATGCTCTTAAAGGTGCTGCAGCGCGAGGGGAAGCTCCGTGTGAGCCGGGAGGGGAAAAGGGCACCCTTAAGGCTGCCGAAAGGGGGTTGTTTAGCCATGGGTTAAGGCTAGGCCTCGTGGGCGCCGGGCTTGCGGTGCCCGCTGCATTCCATTGCTTTTGTCTGCCCTTGGTATTTGGGCAATTCTGGCGAGGGCTGGAAGGCGGGAGGGGGTGCGGGAAGGCGGTCAGCGGTCCGGCTGGTGTGGGAATTGTGGAGCGGGGTCAGGGTTGAGCTCCAGCGGCCATTCATCAGATGATGATTGATGGCCGCGCCGGCCCGGGGGACGTTTAACAACGTGGCCACCCCTCCCCCGGCCCCCTTTGAAAGCAGATGGACCAAAAAATGGGGAGAGCGACACCCAGGAATTCCCGCTGTTGTAAAATGTTTTTTACGGTACACTGTACAGCCTTTCCTGAAGCAATCACATTTATGGCCTTGCTGTTGTATTTCTGGGGCTGCCGCGGCTGTAAAAGATGAATAGCCCTGTAATATGGTTCACTGATTCTGTTTAAATTGGAGTGGGCTCCCTCTATTGTTTTGTGTCGAAAATTGTATGCCACCAATTCAGGAAATATTTCCTGTTTGGGAAATAATCAACCCATAGCTGATTTATTTTAAAATAAATCACTATCAACTATCTCCAAAGCAATTCCCCTTTTTGCTTCTGCCTTTTCCCATCTTCATTCGATTTTGGTAGAAACTGATAATAATTAAAGTAATAGTTTAAAAAATAACTTAGGAGTTATTCACCGCTCCCTTACTAGAACAATATTGACTTTTAGCAAAATATATTTTGATGTGTTATCCATTTGTTTTATTATAGAAGAACCCTACCTTGCTGTAATTATTTATAGATTAATTACTTTAGGGGAAAAAATAATTTACATAGAGCTTATAAAATTCTGCAGTTCTTGGAAAGAAGAATGGGCTCTGCTGCCCTGTCCCTCACTCCACTCTCTCTCCTTCCTCTTCCTCTGTGGGAGCATTTCTGCTCTTTGGGAAAACCAGCGCGTTTGAAGACTTGGTTCATAAAACGCTCGCTCAGGCATTTGGGAAACATGTGAATTACCTGGGTGGGGGCTCAAATGGTAGCGCAGCTCCTGTCCCCGCCACCCCATCACTGCCCCTTCAGGCAGGACAGGGTTTAAAAAAACAAAAAATCGGCACTTTTCTTCCAAGTATTGTTTTGTAAAGTTTGGCATTGGCAGCCGAGCTGTTTTAGGGGAGCCTTGGAATTGCTTTCGCTTCCTCCCCTCGCTCGCCGACCGTTCGAGACTGGTCTTGTTTTTCATTTTGAACGCAGGTTGTGCGGGTGCAGGGGAGCAGCCGCTCACCCTGCTCCCTGAGCTTCCCTGTTTCCTCCCTCCTTTGCCGTGGAAGCCGGCGTGGAGCCGTGTCCCCGACAGGAGGTGACCCGGGCACGGGAGCCAGCGGCTCGCGTGGCCACGGAGCCGCCGCAGCGGGAGGCCTGCCCTGCGCGGCCTCCCCGTGGGGCCGCCGGGAAGGCCCTTCTGGAAGGTTCCGCGGCCATCTTGAGGCTGAGGGGCGCCCGCGGGCTGCTCCGCGGGGCCGGCTCCCTTCCCGGCCGGCCAGCGGGCGCCGCGGGGGTTATGCATGGGGCTCTCTCTCCTGTGTGTGTTTAAGATAACTTGGAAATAACAGGGTAATGGCAGAGTATGCAGGATCGCCCTTATTTGCTTCCTCCCCCTTCCCTCCCCCAGGCTCATTAACTCCCCTTTGCTCTCAGATTTAAATCTAGGCTGTGAACTTTGTCTTCACCGTTTTCTCATTACTAAGAAACCATCGGGGGAGCCTTTGCCTTCCTTTGCCTTCTGATGGTTGCTGGTGCCTACTCAAGAGATGTGTTTTGGGTTGTGATTGCCTGCCGTGTTTTGGGGAAGTTGTTTTGTTTTTCTCCTGTGTAATCTGCACTTCTAAAGCGCCCTGTTCTTGTGAATTCAAGGGTCGCCTTTTCCACCACTGTTTGGTGGGAGGCAAGAGGCAACTGAACACCTTAGATCTGGTTTCCCTTGGCTTGAGCAGTTGAATAACTCTCTACCACCACAGTACACAGTCACTTTGCAGCAGGAGCACCTGGGGCTCCAGAACGGGACGGTTTGCTGGTGTTTACCCTACTTTTGGTGTTAGCTGTTTTGGAGGGAGTGGAATAGGACAACTGAAGTCAGGTTTAGCTTGCTTGGGAGCTTCTGCTCATATGGTCACCATTTTCTGTTCAGCTGCTCTACTTGATTGAGGCCCCAAATCCCTACTGTAGGTTTTTAAAGTACATTGGATTCATATGACTTAACTTGATACCCTGTCTTGGTTTTCATCCTCTCAAAACTTCTCAGTTGTTTAAGTGGAGTCATTCAGCAACATGTAATAAATGTTCCCTGTAATTTCAACAGTGCAATTACAGAGCTGCACAAAATAAAAGTAAACACTATATTCAGATTTAGGCAACTGCAGCATAAAGACAGGGAGCCCTCTGGTTGAAGAAGATGCTGTTTTATTTGACTAACGCACTTGGGAGCCAAGGCAGCACATCTTTCCAGAAGACTAGGAGAATCTGAGATACTACACGGGGATTTGCTATTTGAACAGAAATAAAAGAAGCTCAGTTCAGATTTCCCTACAGCAAAACATAACTTGCAAAAGAAGGGATTTCAGTAAAACCTCCCTGGCACGCGTGCGCACGCACTCAGACACACACCCCTTTGAGGAATTAATCCGTGTAGCGCTTCAGCTGTCGCACTCATAGGAGCTTGGAGCATGGCTCCTGCGATACAGGAAATTTGATGGGATCACCTGTCTTCCTCCCCGCTGTCTTCTGGGGGAGGAGGGCAGAGCGGATGTCACACGCTGCACCGTGAACTATTCGGTGGACCTGGAACGTGCCGGGTGGCAACCGTGGGACAAGGCAGGCACCAGTGCTTTTGCCCTTTTCCATGAGGTAGGGATCCAACAGCTGATGATGGAAAAAAACCTACTTGTAGCGTGGAAACTCTACTTGGTCTAATCCTGTAGTGGATTTTTAAATCTTTCATGGTAATCTGAGACTTTCTCACTATAATACGCTTTAGGGTTACCTAGCTAAGAGAATTTAATTCAACAAAGTTTCGTATTCAGTCGTTTTTGTACTCTTTCACTTGCATCCTTAAAAAAGGCCACCCAGATGATTTTGACTCTTCAAGAAAACGCAGTTCCCTGAGAAAGCTTATTTCTGCATACCACTTCCCTCTGCTGGGAGGAATGAAAATAGTTACAGCTCATGAATGGGCCATGTTTTCTGTTTCTAGGATAGCATGTCCTGTAAGACACAGCAAATTGAATATAGAGGGCTTCCCCCCCACCGCCCCCCCGAGTACTTTGTGCATAGAAAAGGGGTTTTAGTCACTACTCAGAGTTTGGCATTAAAATGCAAGGATGGGCAAGTTAACATTCAGTTTTGCTCTCCATTGTCTCCATATGTGCCAAGCCTAGGAAACATTATGGTGCTTAGCAAAGAATTGCTTTCTTGAGGACTGGTAGAAGGGAGTTGTGCCTAATATTGTCCCTGACCTGAACACAAGCGTTATGATGTTTTGAGGAAAGTAGAGGATGGTTCCAAGCATGGGTACCTTGCCTTCCCCTTCGCAGGTGGAGGAGGTGGGATGGGACTCTTCAGCTCTCCCATGCAGTGAGTAATACACGACCCACCTAAGAGAATGCAGTGTTCGTGTAGGCAGGAAGAGTTTTCCTCTGAAACTTGCCATAGGTGACATCTCCAATCTGCAAGTGTTGGCAGATGGCTTCCGTTCTTAGGAGAAGGCTGATGGGGACATTCTTCCTAGTATTGTATTGCAAAGAAAACAACGACACTTTCATCCAACTGTTGAGGTCTGATCCAGAGCTTGCTGAGAGGGATGGCTCTTCCTCTGCAGAGAAACTAATTGTGAAGTCTTTGCCTATCACTATAACCTATAACATCTCCTTTTATAGTTACTTGCTTGGACTCTTCCTTCCTGACACTTTTAATTATTTATTATAGGTAATGATACAGGTTTTTCTCTTCTAGGTGTTGCATTTCTACTGTGATACCTGTTCTGTCCCCATATGTCGGGAATGTACCATGGGACGACATGTGGGTCACAGCTTTATCTACCTCCAAGATGCCCTCCAGGATTCCAGGACTCTCACCATCCAGCTCCTGGCAGATGCTCAGCAAGGACGGCAGGCTATTCAAGTAAGATACACTCGAGTATTTTATTTTTATCCCTTTTCTGTCTCTTCCACACACCCCCACCCACCCACCCCAAGCTGTGTCTGTTACAGGGCAAGGTGTCAGGCAGAAAACTCTCTCTGCTTCTGCTGCCAGCCTTCCCACTCCTTCTGCTCTCTCAGATTTTTGACAGAAGTGTCTGCATAGCTGAAAACAAAATGCTGTTACGTGAATTTTGCATTCTGGCTGCGTCGTCCTGTCTTGTAAATAGCAATATGTTTAAAGCTCTGTGCAAATTAACTTGAGCATGAAGCATTTTGAAGAAAATTCTGGTTTTGTACAGCAGTGCCAAGCCCACTTTTGTTTTTACAACTGAGGCTTAATTCCAGCTTTCATGTCTACTAGCACCAAAAACATGGGCCACGCTAGGAACATGGTTCAGTATTGCCACTAAATGCAAAGTCCTAATGAGCTATTTGGATTAGTGTGAAATTTCTAACCTGCACCTGTAGAGGAATGGAGCTTGTAGCTAATATATCATTATGTGGCCAGAGCTGGTTGTGTAGCCCCTTTCCATTTAAAATGTTACTGTTCATACGTGGGTACGTGTTGTAGCTGCTTGTCATAGCTGAGGCAGGATGTATAGTCTTCCAATGGAGGCATGAGGGAGAGAAGGAAAAGAGCACAGTGCTTCAAACTACAGAAGGACTTTGAGTAGGAAATGAACTATTACATGAAATTAGCCATAACTTTGTCTCTGCAGCAGTTTTGGGGTGGAAAGGCTTGATGGGAAGCTAGGCTTTGAACTACCATATTCTTCAAAGCTTTTGGGTAGTCTCTCAGGGCGAGTTAGCACTTAGTGTGCAAACAATACTGCCACTTCCAGGCTTCTGCAAAGACTCCCCACTAAATCTAGCTATGTCGTCCTCAACTGTTACAGATTTGAGCTGGACACTTGGCTTAAACTCAATATTTTTATATGAAATTGGTTCAATAACATTTTTTTTGTGTGTATATATTAGCAAAACCTGAAGTACATGAAGTAAGTTTTCTCTGAGATGTCTGCATGTCCTCCCATTTTTTTTAATTTTCCCTTTCCGGACAAACATACATGCTACAAATGAAAACTGTTGTCATCCCGTCACTGCTTATCTTTAGTAGACAAGGATTTCAGTGGTTTTTTACCTCTTTTTCCTTATTAAACAATGTATTGGGTCTCTTCCTGCACTGCTTTTACCAGTGATCTCTCAGTTTCTCCCAAGTCACTTCCCTGCTGCACAACAGCATTTCTGTGTACTCAGGGCAGGTTACTCAGGATAAGGCTTGTGTGTCTTGATGGGTGTGTGTGGCTGTGCCTGTGCCTGTGAGGGAGGGAGGGATTTGCCCATTTTAAAGCTGGATCCCTTTCTGCAAAAGGGGGGACAATTTCCTACCTCACTGATTAGTGATAATAAAGTAGTTTTGCAATAGTGGGACAGGAGCAGCTAATTTGTCTTCAAGTCCACCTGCATCATGAAATAATCATTGTGATGCTGATAGACACTAAACTGTTGTTGAGGTCGCCCTTCAGCATTTGATGTTAACTTGTTAGCCGTGTACGTCAGAGCAGCGTAAGTTTTTGGAGCTCAGCAGCTAATTTAAAGCCCCGTGCTTACGTAGGATTCAGCAAACCTCAGCCCCTTCCAAGATGTGTTTTTAAATTGTCAGCATGGATCATAAGGCTCTTCAGTAGAAGCCATACTGAAACACTTAACATGTCCCCTGAATGAGCAAGAAGGAAGGGATTATACGAGTTTAGAGAACCTCACCAGAGCAGTGTTTTGAATTTCTCCAAGCTGGCCTAAACAAGGGCTTGTCTGTTAGTAATTAAATTACTGCTTTTGACCTCCAGGGCTCTTAATCATCTAACTGGTGCAGATAAATCATGTAAGTAGTGACTGTCTCTTGGAGCAGAAAGTAGCAGAATGACACACAGGACACTCTGCTGCTATTGGCACGAGCACTTTTGTACCTGCGTGTGTCCTCTTGGGTTTACCTTGCTCCCTTCCAGTTCTGCTCTTTACATTACAGGCTCCTGCCCTTGCAGTGAGCTGCCATTAGTGCTGGTTCATCTCCAGCATGGATTGGGTACTAAAGATCTTGTTCATGCAATTCAAAGAAATAGCTCAGATGGATTTACTCGTCTGTCCTGGGCCTGGTTGAGCTACCTACTGCCTCCTACGTAGCCCTGGTCTAGCTGAGTATTGCCACGCTGAGAGATGGCCTTGGGTGTGCTCAGTAGGTGGTTTGCTGAATAATAAAGTAAATGCAAGATTAAAAAAAAAAAAAAAAACTTGGTTGATTTTATAAACAAAATAAAAACTGAATATTCAGTTACTAACTGAATATTTTTTCCCCCAGAATCACCATTTAAAATAGGTGTAATAAGCAAACCCAAGCGATAGAGTTGAGGAGGTGGTAACCTCTGTGTGTATCCATGGGAATAATTCCTTATACAGCTCCAGGCAGAGGGTACCTAAGCAATGTCAGCAAAAACTAGATGAACTTGGGACACAGCTGGAAAGAAAAGCAGAGGTGCTCCTGTCAAGAAGCAACACAGTGAGCCTGCCATACAAAATCTGTGCTGTGCAGCTATATGTTTCCATAACGGAGAAGAGTATGTCAGCGTGGACTTAAGACATATCCTAAACTAATTAGACTCTAATTTAAAAGAAATTTTGTTGGGGGCTTTTGTCGGAGCTTGGAAACTTAACATTAAATGATGGTCCTAGCCACAAGCTGCCATGTGGGGAATATGGAAGATTCCAGTTATAAAGGGATGGAAAGGGAATATGGTGCAGGAGCAGTTCTTAGCATGACTGAATCAAACTGCGTTACTAGTAACTCTCTTCTTTAGTAGGCTGTGAAAGCAAGAGCTCTCTGGCATGAGCTGTTGAGGATGGGCAAGGAGAGGGTTTCTCCTGGGCCACTCTGCTTTGCTCGTCGGAAGGAAAGGTGGGCTCTGCCGAAGGGCCTTGCAGGAGGGAGGAAGTCAAGCCACGGGTCAGCTTGCTGGAGAGTATCTGGTTAACCAAAGTTGAAGGCTTTTAGGAAGAAATGTTTATTTAAACTCTTCCTGCGGTTTTGGAGGAGATTGTTTTTCAGTCTGAAAGGAGAGGGGGGGGGGAGGAAAAAAAAAGGGAAAAAGAGAAAAGCTGTGAGTTGGGATCTGTTTCAGGAGTGACGGACTAGATCAGGCTCCCGTGGCTCGGGCAGCCTCCCTGTAGCGGGGAGCTGAGCCCCGCTCTAGCAGGCAGCAAGGCCGTAGCCAGGGCCTGGCCTTCCTTGGGCGGTCTTGCTCGCCCGTGCTGCTCTGCTCCGGGCACGGATCGGGCATTTCTAAACCTGGCCCTAACTTGAGACCTTGTTCTGATCAGCCGAAAGGAGAACCTTTCCTTGGGATTGCTTTGGGGCCGGGTCGGCTCCCTGGGCTGCTCTGCCGTGAGCACCGCTTGTGGTGGCAGGCGGTGGGATGGAAAGAACCATCTCTGGACCTTGGAGCTTTCTTCCTGGGCAGTGGAAAGCTATCCTCCTAGCCAAGATACGTGTCTGGCATTTTCCATGACTCCAACTGACTCACAGAGGGGTCTGAAAGCCAGAGTTGACACCAGATTAATGTGGAGATGGGTGGGGGAAGAAGGACCCTTCCCTTTGGATACGGGAGCCTGTGGTGCTGCCTTGTTCTACCTCATGAATCCACCCATGTGGCTGGCTGCTTTCAGGCGTTTCCCAAGGACTGGGTCACAAACAGAACGTAAATCTCTTATGATGAAAGATAGATGGCTTCTTCAAAATGTCATGCTCTTAAAATACATCTATACATGTGTAATTGTATATATACATGTTATATATATATGTATGTGCATGTAATCTAACGCACTTGCGTAACAGGGAAGTACTGAGTGCTCCCATTTAGGGTTAATTTCCAGGTGAGCAAGTTAAAATATAATATGATCCCTGTATGCTGCTTGTGTTTAAAAATAAAAATAAAAATAAAAATAAAAATAAAAATAAAAATAAAAATAAAAAATTGAACTCCAATGCTAGCCCAAGCTTTGCTTTTGCTGGGGTGTTTGGCAGCGCCTTAATTTGAAAGCTGCAGCTTGCAGCAGGTCAGGTCGTTAGCAGGACATGGAGGAAGCAGCCCTGTCACCTTCCAACCTCTTAGGCCTAAGAGTTGGTGGTAGGGAGAGCTGTTCCAGCCCTGCAGCCTCCTGGCCTTGTGCTGCGTGGAGGGGATCCCTGTGAGCAGGCAGCAAGAAGCCCATGAGTCGGAGCCTGAACACGTGGGCTTTGGAGGAGGAGGAGGGAGATACTGTCAGAAACCGGGTCAGCCCGAGGAGGAGGTGGATGGGTTGGAATCACTGGAGCCTCCTTGGGAGTTTCCGCATGGAGTCTGTGCTGCTGGGAGGCTCCTACCCGGGAAGGATGGCACTGGGGTGCCTGGTCTAGGGCTGTCACTTAAGCTTCTGGAAGTGGGTGGAAACAGAGTTGTTTTGGGTATGTGGCTTTGCAGGCAGACTCCGCAGGTTTGGGAATGTGACATGAAGCTGAGCAAGCAAAATGGGTGCAAGTCTGTCGTGCTTTAATACCAGCCTGGGTGGAAGTGTGCACACACTGACATCCTTAATGGCAGGAGGGGCGTCTTGGCCGTCCGCGGTCACGGTGAAGCCGTGCAAGTGAGAAGGTCTGACTGCGAGTAAGGAATTTACGCCAGCAACCAAGAGCAAGGTAACCAAGCCAGCGTAGCTGGCACCCCTCGCATCTTGGATAACGGAACCAGGCACTCTGTTAAACCCAGCCCTTATCTTCTGTTTCCCAAGCGTGTGAACTGGCCAGCAATCTCATTCATTAGTGGCAGGTGATAAATATTCTAGTACTTGATAAATATTCTAGTACTCATAATCAGTATGAGGTGCTTTCCTTTAATATGGATTTTGCTGTATATTGTGCCTGACCAGATCGAGATTGCTGCCTTATATAGCTGTCTTGCCTGTCCTCCTCTCCTAGGCTGCTCTAGTTTGTTTTGGCATAACAAGGGGTAGTGTGATCTTGTCCAAAGCTTTGTCAGTATCTTGGCAATCCAAAAATAGCCTGTTTATTAGAGCTTTAGTGTTTCAGGTGTCCTCGCTGCCCTTTGGTGAGCTGTTCCAGCCTCAGGTCTGTGGAGGAGGTCAGGATGGCATCATGGTGGGGATGCATTCATAGCATAGTTACTTACCCTGCCATACCTGTGCTTCCTCTAGCTGGAAGATCACGATCGATAGGGATTCATACCTCTTGGATTTCTTGAGCAGTGGATTCTGGTTTGAATAAAATACTGTGGGGGTAGTTGGGCAATATAGCCCAACTTTCCCAATGAGGAAACAGAGCGTGATCCTAATAAATACTGCTGTTCAGAAATCTCACGAAGGTAAGCCAAGATCTTTCTGCCTTTGCAGGGATCCTTGCTAGATTTGGAATATGCATGGGCAGTGTAGTTTTCCTAGCACCTAAATATTTAAGGAGATGCTTGCGTCCCCTTGGCAAAAGCAGAAGGGTATTTTGCTGCACTTGATAAGACTCCTCCAGGTCTGTTTTGAAGAAATGCATGCTTTTTCCCTGCAATAAATAGAAGCTGTTTCTGTATTCGAATCCTGAGACACAGATGGAATAGAAGTGCGGTAATTCTTGCATCTAGACTTTCTCTTGCAAGGACTATTGGATTACAAGACATCTTTGTCTGTGGGCAGTTGTGACTTCATCTGTGCTTTGCTCATTATTTTGATGGGTTTTTCACTTTCTGTGGTCTTGAAGCTTAGAGTCAGCTTTGTCTGTCAGAAGCTTCGTGTGAAGGCAAGTCAGATCTGCCTCCAGTGGCAGCGGGTAACTGCACTGTCCCCAAATCTAAAGCCTTGTTAAAAATGCAGCAGAGGTGACAGAGCTGGGAGCTGGGTGAGGGAGGAACGCACTTCTCTCAGTTAGCTTTGCTCTGCAGAGAAGCCTTCAAGCAGCTCTCCCGTTTTCTTTACCAAACAGTTTGCTGTTGCCTTCCTGGCATTAAAGCCAGAAACGCTGCCCGTGTCTCTGAGATGAAAGACAACCCCGAGGAAAACTTTCCAAGTCTCCACTCCTGACTGATTTGCATGGTCTTTCCCTTCCCTTTCAGCTCGCTGCTCTCATGTGACCTGAGAAAAATACGTTTAATTCAGCCTAGCTGTTTAAGAAGAACTACATGACATGAAAAATATCCAAACGTCAGTATAGTTCTGCTTTCATCAGGATGTTCTATTGAGTGGTAACATTCCCATTACTAGCACAAATTAGCTACTGTTACATTTGCCAGATCAGATTCTGGAAATACCGATGACTAACTTCCATAGAGATAACAAAAAAGCCCTTGTCTGACTTCCTGCCCAAAGCTGGATCATATCTGATAGTTAGATTGTCACATCAGGTGGCTCATTGATTAGTACGGAATTAAACTGAGGATACTTGCCAGAAGGCCCTAAATGTACTACTGTAACCCCCTTAGCAATTCACTCTTTTGCCTTCTGTTTTATCAAGACAGCATTTCTGAGGAACAGTATCGTGGATCACATTGCACGTGAAGCACAGCTTCCTGAAAACACTCTCTGCCAGAGCATCCCCTTGTCATCTAGGCTCAGGCAGGGCAAAAATGGAGAAATGGGCCAATTTCTCAGGCCAGGGTGAGGGAAGGGCGTTGTAAAGCCTGTACAGAAATGCTGTATTTGGAAAACAAATAGCCCTGGATGTTAACATAGCTTGCAGTACGTAATGAGGAGAGCAAAGAGGTGAGTTCCTGAGTTCCTTTCTCAGCCATCGACAAACTAAATTCTTGCCAGTCAAGCTGGTGGAGGATTGGAGGAGTGAGATAATTATTTACCATATGTTGATATAAGAAGCTCCAGAATTCCTGAAATTCTGAAGGTAAAAAGATGCTGTGATCTGCTTCCCTTACAGCAGGAGGAAAGGAAAATCATATGTTGGTTAAGTACAGTCCCTATACAACCTTTCCCCATGAGGATTCTGCAACTAAAAATTATGCCTTCTGTTGATTCTCAAGGAGTCACTACCTCATCTGCACACTTAATGCTGATTCACTGCATGACCTTTACTTGTAAAGAACCAGTTAATTCTCGTTGGCAAACTTTTTCCTTTGTACTAGTATGATCCCTCTGTTTTGCCTGCTCTTACCTTGTTTGGTATGTTCCCTTTTATGCTCTTTTCTGTGAAAATTTGTGAAATTGGGAGCAGCTTGAGAGGAAAATTTCATGAAATTGCATTTTTTTTCTCCTTTAGGTGAGAAGAGAGGTTTAGTTAGTGTACATGTTCCTTCCCAACACATTCCTTGTGCTTTTGGAGCATTACCACAGAGTGCATTTCAATATTAGTACTATAGAGTATTAATTATAAAATCAGCAGCCTGGTCTCTATGCAAAGCATGGATGACTCTGCAAGTATGTCTCAGCAATCACCGTCTATTCTGTTTTGTGTGGAGATTCTCTTTCCTGTTTATATCCTGTTAAGGTATTTGTGTGCAGCTCCAGATAGGTAAAAGTCTGTTTGCTGCACCCAGAAGCAGTCAGTGTTGTGGTGTGTGCGCTGCAAGCACCATCTGAACGGTTGTGAAGACCAAGAGAAACTTTTGACCTTCTATGTGCAGTGCAGCCGGAGCCTGAACGGTTGTATATGTGGGAGTCTCTATGATTCCCACATTTAAGTTTGTATCAACTGCTTCCTGGAATGGCACCAAAAACCTGGCCTGTGGTGTTGATGCAGGGTACCCTGAAGGCACACACCCATATAGCGGATTTTTGAAATTATCTTCCAGAGCTTGATATATGCAATGGGTGAAAGCTTGGTAAAATCTGGTGAGTCACTCTGTGCCTTCTGCTGCAGCCATAGGGTTAACTGTAAGAGCCAGTTCTCTAATGAAGTTTTGATTGGCTTGGCTGAACTTTAACTAAGGGATTTATTTTATTCTTGCACCCCCTCTTGTACCCTCCAGCTGAGCATCGAACAGGCCCAGGCGGTGGCAGAGCAGGTTGAGATGAAAGCGAAGGTGGTACAGTCCGAAGTGAAAGCAGTGACCACGAGGCACAAGAAGGCCCTGGAGGAGCGGGAGTGCGAGCTGCTCTGGAAGGTATGCGCCCGGTGGCTGTGTTTTGCACACTTTAACTGCTGGCAGGTAACCTTTCCAACTGGAAACACGCTCTGCAACTGGCACGGGGTCAGGCTGATACCCATCTGAGGAACGCGCACTCCGAGGTCAGGCACGGCGGTGTCGGGGGCTGGGCAGCGCCCTGGGAAGCAGGATGCTGGAGCCTGACTGGAGATGGCTTGGAAAGAAGGTGTCCCTTAGTACTGGGAGCAGGGCAGGGGGAGAGAAGGGGCTTGCTTGTGGGTTCGAGGTTTTGGTTTTTTGAATTGGGGATTCCCATGTGTTCACACAATGGCACGAGAGAGGCAGGCGCTCCCTCTGCTGGCTCTGCTGCAACATTCAGCCCTGGAAAAGTCTGATGCTGACAGCACGGGAAGTGTCTTGTGTTCAAAAGAAATTATCCTTTAAAAGCTCTTTAATATGCCAGTGTAGACTTAAGTACAGCTTCTGTGCTTCACTTTGCTTCTTTCCTTTGCATGTAGAAGAAACTTTTTTTTCCTTCTTGGAACAAACTAGAAGGAATCCTATGAGACTGATTTTTTTCCTATGAACTTCATTTGCACCAGACTAAGTGGAGTAGGAGAGCAGGCTCTGTGTAGCTGCTGCCTGTACTGGCCAAAAAAATTTAAAAAAATCAGGAAAAAAAAAAGCAGAAAGCTTAAACCCAACATCAAGAATGACACTAGTGAATAATATGGGTTATCAAAGCAGAAGCACTCAAAGTGGGCAAGTTTGCTCATCTCTTCTGAAAACTTGTATCACTTCTGAAAACTTGTGATTTTTAATGAGCTGTTGGAAGAAACACACACATATATATATTTTTTAACAAACAAGTAAAACTTGCATGCCTTGCAGCTGAAGTGAAACAGCATGTTTGTGTCTGCTGTGAATTTCTTTCATCTGCTCCCTGCTCTGACAAGAGTCTTTAGGCAGCCAGTTGTTTTTCACTGCAGCACTTTGCTGGTTGCTCTGAATATTTGCTTGGTTGCAGTGCAGTAATGAAATGCATTTTTGCAGCAACAAAGTAGTTACATCTTTCATTTACTTTTACAAAGGAAATGTCTTTGCCAGATGCTCCAAAATCTTTTTCAGAACAAAAGAACCGCAGGCATATGTAAAATAGTTGTAAACAAACCGTATTGTTTGAGCTTCAGTCTTCTAAGTAGGAGCTAGCAGCAGCGTCCTGTGTCCTTTTAAGTGACATTTTAAGCTGTCCTGTGTAAAGCAGGAGCTTAGCATGATTGCCAGTATTTGCAATAAGGAAAATGACCAAACAATTGACCCCAAGAGTCCTGGAGTGAGAGATCTGGTCTTAGCCAGTCGCATAGAAATAGCCTGAAGTGAAAGCACAATCCTGGCAGCCTGGGAAGTCACTGGGGAGAAGCAGCTTCTAGCTGATGCGAACTCCTATCTAACTCCTGGCCCAGTCTCAGGTAATAACAGCCACCTTCTGAAATGCAGATTGGCCTCCAGTCTCCCTTGGAGTCGGCCACTATCTGCTCGGTGTTGGGGGGAGGAAGGAATGAGATAGGGACTGTCATCTTGAACCACAGGAATTTCTCTGCTTCCCAGCGTTCAAGTAAGATCTGCCTTCTGAAGACCTAGGGACCAGGCGGTAGAGCTGCAGTTGAGGAAGGAGATAGGTGGTCATTAGCTAGTGAACAAGCCCCTCTTCCTTCCCAATGGCAGAGCAGTGCAGCTCTCTCCCATTGCGCCGTCACGCCAGGTGCGTGTCACAGGAATGACAGTGATGGGGACACAGTCGGGTTTGCTCATTTCTCTCCCCATCATGGATTTCCTGACAACTGCGTAGCTCCTCTGTGTGTAAGAGTCACATTAGGAAATGCCACTGTCTTTCCTGATCCGAGCATTCCACGTTTCTCTCTCTTCCCTCTCCTCCTCTCCCTCCCTTCCTGTCCCCCCAAGGTGGAAAAGATTCGCCAAGTGAAGGCGAAGTCGCTCTACTTGCAAGTCGAGAAGTTGCGCCAGAACCTGAACAAGCTGGACAACACCATCAGCGCTGTGCAGCAGGTGCTGGAGGAGGGCCGCACCATGGACATTCTTCTGGCTCGGGACCGCATGCTGGCTCAGGTGCAGGAGCTGAAGAACGTGAGAGGCCTCCTGCAGCCCCAGGAGGACGACAGGATCATGTTTACACCGCCTGACCAGGCCCTGTACATGGCCATTAAATCCATGGGCTTTGTCAGCAGCGGGGCCTTCGCCCCTCTCACCAAAGCCACCGGGGAGGGCCTCAAGCGTGCGCTGCAGGGCAAGGTGGCCTCCTTCACGGTGATGGGCTACGACCACGACGGCGAGCCTCGGCTCTCCGGCGGCGACATGATCTCTGCCGTGGTGATGGGCCCGGACGGGAACCTCTTCGGGGCAGACGTCAGCGATCAGCAGAACGGGACCTACCTGGTCAGCTACCGGCCGCAGCTGGAGGGGGAACACCTGGTGTCCGTGATGATGTGCAACCAGCACATCGAGAACAGCCCCTTCAAGGTCACGGTGAAATCCGGCCGCAGCTACATCGGCATCGGGCTCCCCGGGCTCTCGTTCGGCAGCGAGGGAGACAGCGACGGGAAGCTCTGCCGCCCCTGGGGCGTCAGCGTCGACAAGGAGGGCTACATCATCGTGGCGGACCGCAGCAACAACCGCATCCAGGTGTTCGAGCCCTGCGGCACCTTCCACCACAAGTTCGGCACGCTGGGCTCCCGGCCCGGCCAGTTCGATCGTCCCGCTGGCGTGGCCTGCGACGCCTCGCGTAGGATCGTCGTGGCCGACAAGGACAATCACCGTATCCAGATCTTCACGTTCGAGGGCCAGTTCATTCTGAAATTCGGGGAGAAAGGAACCAAGAACGGGCAATTCAACTACCCGTGGGATGTGGCCGTCAACCCGGAGGGCAAAATCCTGGTCTCCGACACAAGGAATCACCGCGTTCAGCTCTTCGGGCCCGACGGCGTGTTCCTCAACAAGTACGGCTTCGAAGGGGCGCTCTGGAAGCACTTTGATTCCCCCAGAGGTGTGACCTTCAACCACGAGGGCCACCTGGTCGTGACAGACTTCAACAACCACCGCCTCCTGGTCATCCACCCGGACTGCCAGTCCGCGCGCTTCCTGGGCTCCGAGGGCACCGGCAACGGGCAGTTCCTGCGCCCGCAGGGGGTGGCCGTGGACCAGGAGGGCCGCATCATCGTGGCCGATTCCAGGAACCACCGGGTGCAGATATTCGAGTCCAACGGCAGCTTCCTGTGCAAGTTTGGCGCGCAGGGGAGCGGCTTTGGCCAGATGGACCGGCCCTCAGGTATCGCCGTCACCCCCGACGGCATGATCGTCGTCGTCGACTTCGGAAACAATCGGATCCTCGTCTTCTAATCGGTGTCTCAATTGGGAAGAAACTGTCTCAGGGAAATTCTTCTAAGAGAAAATGAAAGAAAAATACAACGTTAATTCAAACCTACCTCATCTTTAATTTTTTTACAGATGAATGTACTTACCTTTTCTGCAGGGAGTGAGCCTGTAAAGTTAAATTCTATCTACCTCATTGTCCTCCCTTCCCTCCCCTGGTTTTTTTTTCCCCCCCCTTCCCCTCCCCACATACTCACAGTTCAGAAAGTTTTACCTCTACCCCGGATGGGGTTTCATGCACAAACGTGTTGCTGTGCACATTAGGTGATTTGTGTGGTGAATTCTGTAGACTAAGCCAAAAATTTGGCTCTATATAGTGTTTTGTTGTTGTTGTTCTTTTTTTTTTTTTAATGGAGGGAGGCAAAAAAAAGTAATAGGTATTTGTAGAGAATTGTGTTCTTCATTATACTGCAGTTCTGTGGGTTGGAGACATGGGAGGGGGGATTTTTTTTTTTTTTTTTTTTTTTGGAATTGCTGCTGCAGCAGAGAACTTTTTCCTGTTCTCCTTTTTATACCTCAGTGTGTTTGATTTACTGGTGAGCACAGCGTCTCCTTTCCAGAAGACTAAAACCATTTGTGAAAGCGAGTGGATTCGCTCGCCAGCAAGAGCAAGTTTGAAAGAGCAAGTCTTTTTTTTTTTTTTTTTTTTTTTTTTGGCATTTCTGTGTATTTTTTTCTAAAAAAAACGCAGTAATCAAACAGCACAAAGCAAACCTCATAAAAATGCACAATACTTTTAAGTTGAAACCAAAATTATTCATTTTAGTGGCTTAGTACAGTCATGAAGCGTAGATAAAAAGCAAGGCTTCCTTTAATGTATCCTGTCCTTTGGAGAATTTCTTTTACCACGTTCACTTGCAAGTTAAGTTAGGTTGGTTGGTTGTTTTAGAAAGTTGCTAGGTTTTTTTTTTAATCTGTATGCGCAAGTAATTTGAGCAACAGCAGAGGTGACAAGGAGCGTCAAAATAGGGAAAATCTGACCCTTGCTTTAAGGTGGTTTCTTGTGAAATGACTCTTTTTCTTTAAGTTTTTTTTTTTTTTTTCCTTACCCTCCCTGTAGAGAGACTTTAAGGGACTAAAGTCGAGTGGATTTGTGAAGACAAAAGTGGTACCTTTTTCCAAAAACGAGAAATAAGCACAGCTTTGGAGATGCAGGGTGCGTTTCAGAGACGTCCGCGGCTTTTGTGTGTCCAAGGGGATTGCAATACCCGCCTCGGCCTCCGCTTCCCGCCGGAGCTGCTCCCGAGGGCTCGGGAAGCTCCAGCCCGGGTTTGAGGGTAGGCCAGGCCTGTGGCCTCGTGTACTGCTTTGCTGCGGGTCTCCGTGAGGAGGCAGCGGCGTAAGGCAGACAGCTAGATCCACGTAAAGCTTTGCTGCGCCATGGCAGGGCAGTACCAAAGAGTTCCACGTAAAATATATTAATCTGGTTCTCCAGAGCTTGGGAGTTGAGGGGAGATTTAGCCCTTTCAGGGATATAAATAGTCGGTTTTTTTCTTTTTTTTTTTTTCCTCTGAGAAACAGACTTTTTGGAAAAGTTGGGGAGAGCGGAGGTGTGCTTAGTTAAACCCGTGTGACTGAGAGTTGACGCTGCGGTTTCCCGCGTTCCTGGTTAGCCCTTAGTGCCGACGTGGTCTCCGGGGGGCTGCTGCTTCCCGGCCTTTCGTGGCAAACGGGCTGGTTTGTGGGGAGCAGGGGGTTTCTCCAGCCCCGGCCGTGGAGGGGCCTGCGCAGCCGGGCTCTTCTCCATGGAAAAGCCGGAGCTGCTCTGCGCCCAGGCGGCTCCCGCGGGACACGCGAGCGACGCTCTAGTGCTTAGGGCCCCGCGGGAAAGGGCCCCCTTTGCCAGCGCGGAGATGGAGAAGGGTCCCGCAGGGATCCCGAGGAGCGCGGAGGGCAGCGCGGAGCCTCCCTGCTCCTCGCAGGCCGGGAGAGGCAGCGGTGGGGCGAGATGCCAAAAACCTCTTTTGAAAGAAGGGTGAGAGGAACACCTGGACGGGTGAAACGGGCTGGAGTAACTGTGCTGCCTTTCAGCCCGAGCCTCGAGGAAGCAAACGCTTCAAAGCGGTGCGTTTCTGCTAGGCTTCGCCCTAGGCTAGCACGGCTTAAAAATAGTCTTTTAAAGGATAGTCTTTTAGAGAGATGTCTGTCAGAGAAGTAGCGTGGCCCCTCCAAGCGAGGGCACGAGGGAGAGCGGCTTTCCGTGCGATCCCGGCAGGTTCTGGCGCGGTGGCGGCGGGCGTCCCAGTGCATCCCAGTGCGTCCCAGTGCGTTGCCTGCAGCCAAGCCCCTAGCCCGGGCTGGGAGAACTGCGGCCCGCAAGACCTAGATACCAAAGAAAACTGGTTTTAAAAGCTTTAACGTTTAGTTTGCAGCATCCTTGCGTTGAGCCTAACATGTCTTAAGAGGAGCGCCCGGTCTCTTGCTATCCCGGCCGGCGCGGCTGCCGGCGCTGCAGCGAATGGCTAAAAATGCTCAAAATGCCCGTGGGGCCCCGTTCCCGTGGGGCCTGCCGGGGGTTGCGGGGGCAGTTGAGCCGTGTCCGTGGGGATCCCTGCCCGGAGCAGCGGTCCCGTCCCGCTGCCGCCGGGAGGGGGGCGCGCTCGGCGCTGCCCGCGCGGCAAGCCGTTCGGCCCCGAGTTCCCCACCTCAAGGGTTGGGGAGCGTTTTGGTTTTAAAAACACTTACTGCTTAGCTGCCCCCAATCACCTCTAACCTGTTGGTCCTGGACGGTGCTAAGCACACGCGGTCTCGTTGAGAAGTAGTGTAGCTTATAAAAAGGAGTGTTTTATATGCAATGAAAGTGAGTAGCAAAAATAGTACACAAGCTTAATGCCAACATCAGCTGCCCCATAGGGGCTTTTTAAAAGTGACACGTGGTTCGTAAAGGAGGTTCCGACCTGGCTCTGCTTCCTTCCTTGCCTGGTGCCAGGCTGTGCGTGTGCCCGGGCTGGCGCCAGGGTCACCGAGCGCGTGGGGCAGAGAGGTGGGAGCCGGTCACAGCCCCACGGTGGGCAGAGCAGTGCCCGGGGAGCCGGCTCTTCCCATGGATCCGGCTCCAGAGGTTGGGATTCGGCTCCTCCGTGTGGGACTCCCAGAAGGATCCAGGGCCGGGCGCGTGGGGAGAGCCCATGTGCAGCCGTGGGGCGCTGCCGTGGGGCGCTGCCGCTGCTCCAGGGTGCTCCGGGAAAGGAGGAGGGTGCCGTAGGGCTCGCGGGGGAGGCCCCCACGCCTGAATTCCCAGTAACAGGAGGTAGGAGAGGTAGCAAAGGAGGAGGGCAGGGCAGGACGCGCAAGTGCAGCGCGGATTCGGGAGAACAGCGAGCTTGCGCCCGGCATTCCCTGGAATTGCTGGGAAATGGGCCCGGCCTGTTGAGCGAAACGTAAACCAAAAATAATCAGTCGCTGAAGAGAGCAGGTTTATGGGCTGATCTGGCCAGTGATCATGGGATTTCTGTGTTGAGTTCTGGTTTAAAAAGAAAAAAAGAGAAAAGAGAAGTGCCAAAGTGTTTAGTTTCATGGGTGTTTTTGTTTTCTCGTTTTTTTTCCTTTTTCTTGAAGGAGTGTAAGCCAAATGGTGCCAAAAGAAAATAGGGTATTTAAAAAAATAGATGTTTAGACAAACAGTTTGGAGCTGTATAAAAAACGAACACTGGTACTTGCTTTAGACAAACGTTGTACCTCTGCTCTCTGAGTCCTTGGGAGGCCGCAACCCAGTTTGCTGTGGTACAAAACGCACAACTTTAGAGATGCCACTTTTTTGTTGTTGTTGTTTTTTCGTTCCTCTTGAAGTTCTACCTCACTTTGCAGAGCTCAATGGTCTACCTCAGTCGTGAGACAGGTTTGGGAAGTGATGGAGAATGGAGCACGGCGCTTCAGTGCGAGCAGGGCGCCCTGCTGTGTGGTGGCTTCTGGCTTGGTCTTTAGTTTAATCTCCTGCTGCCTGCCCATGGAAATCTTAACCTGTCCTTGCTAGAGAAACTGTAAAAATAAAAAAAAAGAAACCAAATGTTGATGGATTGAGGCACACGGGAGCGAGCAAATAAACCTCTCGGGAGGTTGTCCTGCTTCCGCTGCGAAGTGTGGGAATGCGGCCGCTGTTGAGCACCGGCCCCTGCCGGCTGGCGCGCCGCGCTCCCGCTTCGCTTGCAGAGCTCCTGGGATGTCCTGAAGACCTTTAGGTCTCCTCTCTACAAGAGAAAAATTGACTTTCCTGCCTGGCTGCAGCCGCGGCCCGCTCGGAAGGACGCGGGCCGCGACGGCCGCACGCGCGGCGCCGTACCAAATGCTTGAAGGGAATAAGATACCGACTCGTTTGTTTGTTTTTTTAAATGACTTGGTGATTGTATTTGTAATTTTCTTGACACGATGGGATCTTTTCCACCATGACAGAGCGCCCAAGTCCCTATTCCCGGAGAGCGGCGGAGGGTCCCACACGTTTATCGGAGAGGCGGTTGGAAGCCGGGGCCCGGGGGGCCCGGGGGTCCCAGGGAGCGACAGCGCCTGTCGGGGTTGGTAAATGTTGTGGTGGAAAAAGGACTGCGGTGTCTCTAAGTGATCTTACGGGTTAACAAGCCAGACTGGCGCCTTTTTCCATCGTTGTTTAACCAGTAATGGTTCTAAAAATGCTTTGTGTACCTGCGTGGTCTTAGACCTTCTCTTGCTGATTGTATCAACCTACAAACTCAGGTAGATAATTGTTTTTTTAAGCTCTTTTTCATAGAGCCTTACTGACTGAATGTTGAGTGTCTGTGTAGTGACGTAGTTAAGTACCTCCCTTTGGAACTACCAGACTAGTTTAAAAAAAAATAAAAAGAAAAAAAAAAAGCCCTTTTCTAGGTTATAGTAGAGTACTCTTCAGCCAGCGTAGCAGCTTTTCCTGCGGAGGGAGCGAGGCCTGTCCCGGCGCTTTGGTTTCAGTTGCTTTCCGGAGGTGACGGGGGTTTTAGCAGCGCGGGGCGGCCCGTGCCCTGTGTCCCGCGCCGCCCTCCCTGCCCTGAGCCCCCACGGACACGGGGGACGTCCCGGGACACGCGCTTGGGACACCGGGCACCTCCAGGCGG